TTGAAGTAAATTTGAGCTATTTTAAGAAACTGTACTACAAACATTTTTATGCAGCCTAGAATGAGCTGTGTGTGCAAGCACAAAAATGTTTTTTAGTATCCCAATTTGATGTGCTGCTTGTGTAAAGCTATTTTTATGTTAGCATTACTAGTCACAACAAATATACAATCTATAATTGCAGAGTTTTCTACAACAGCCTGTACCTCACCATCAACTGGTGTACATTCCTTTGTTGGTCATTGAAGTTGGGAAGATTGTATGTATATGTATGTATGTAAATGTATGTAAATAACTTAGATTTTCTTTCTTAATAGTATCAGTTTGTGTATGATGTATGAGCACTTTGTTGATATTGTTTTGTTAAGTTATTGGACTGCTTTTATTAGTGATTGGTCGTTTAAATTGATTACTGTTATTTATCTGTGATGGATTTAGTGTTCAGAGTTTAGTTTAAAAGTTAACAATTATTTGAAAACTGTTTTAAAAATTAGTTTTTTTTTCTCTTTTTTTCCTTTTTTCAAACAGCTTGAATGGTACTGTAATTAGGTAAAGTTGTTCTTTGTCTCAATCAAAGGAATACCAAAATTGTTTTTAAAACAGTGTCAGCTTTATTATGTGCCATATTGATGCTGAAGTAGACTCCAATACGGTTTTACTACTTGTGGCTTATTTTCACTTTCTTTTGAGATGTCATGTTGCCTTGTCCATTTGTTGGTCAAGAATATTGGGTATTGATGCTTTGAATTTCAAAAAGTTAACTTCACTAGTCCTGGAAGTATGGTTTTGTGAATATGTATCGAATTCTCATTTTCTTAATGTACAATAAACTAAACATACGTGTGTCAAAATTTATGGGGAGACAAGTTACAGCCTTAAAATAAATTGGATTGTTTCTTTTCTCTTCAGTCACATACATAAATCTTATATTAACATGTTAACATCAACTGCCAATCAAGAATAATTTTCCTGATCAGTTCTTGAAAATTGTGCCTTTGTGTTCAAATTTTGCTGTCAAATTTTAATTATTTGCTATTAAAAGGTGTATTTTCAAATCAATGTTTGTCTTTTTTTATACACACCATTATTAGCGATCTGTTCCTCTTTAAATTCTAAGCACTAAAACTTTGCACATTGCTTTTCTCAAGAATGAAAGCTTTAGCTGAACCTGACAAATTGTATTGATACAACAAATATATTTTGGAGAAACTTATTTTTGTATTCACTAACTCACTTCACATCTTCACCTCATGGTCACACCAATGACCCCCTGCACCTTTGAAATATCCTGCCATTAGACAAAACGCCTGTACATTTTCACGAGCGTATCATTATCAATGGTTTTTATGGCTGCTCCATAGATTTTCACTTTCGGTCCATCACAACCAGCATCAGCACCGTCACTTCCACCGACGACCATCGCAATCGCCAGTTTTTCTAGCACTTCATGCCTGTTTATGTGGGGTGGTCCGTGGCCCCGTTCTGTTTTGCTGTTAAAATTGTACGTCGGCATGCACGCGTCGTGTGGGTGGGTTGCCTAACTCTTTCCTAACTAAGGCGTGAAGAAACCCCACCAGCAAGACGTTGTTCATACGGTACAGTACATAAGAGGGACTAGCATAGCAGCCCGAGCAGAAGAAAACTTTCAC